CTGGCTGAAGTTATTGGAAAATATAGCTTTAGATTTGCACCAAGTAAGCTTGATCATTTTTCACCTCTGAATTAGATATAATTATTCAAAGACAGCATTAGAAACTGATGTTTCCATTTGTGATGTCCATGGGTATGGTTTGTCATACAGCAGAGTGTCAGTAAGATATTCTTCAGTCTGACAGATATCGAAGAGAAAAAAAGAAAGGGCTGAGGTAAGCATGCCTAGTGACTTTCTCCAAACTCATCTATCACTCTGCTTTTTGCAAGAAGAATTAGTAGCAGTCAAGAGAAAAAAATAGGACTGTTACTCTTTGGCAGTCTTTGGCAGTCCCTCCTTATGAAAATATAAACTGTGGGAAGTGAATGTTATCTCCTACAATATCCACTTGCTTTGAGCTTACTTTTTGCCATACTTCTTCTTATGGAAATTTTCAAATGCATCTGGGAATAGGATAATAGATTTCATCATCCAGCGTCAGTGGTTATCACCACCTATTCTTTTTGTTTAATCTCTGTATTGCCACTTTTTGTTGATGATGTTTTCTTTTTTTTTGGTACCAGGGATCGAACTTGGGTCCTTGCGCTTGCGCAGCAGGCGTTGAAACCACTGAGCTAAATCCCCGACCCCTGTTGTTAATGTTTTCTTTGTTGGCACATTTGAAAACAGATTTTTTTTTTTTTTGATACTGGGGATCGAACTTGGGACTTTACCCTTGCGAGGCAGGCACCAGAACCACTGAGCTAAATCCCCAGCCCTAAAAACAGATTTTGACATTTTACCTGATCTCTAACAATAAGGAAAGAATCCTAAAATCTAAAAAAAAAAGTTATTGGAGTAGTCTGTACGCATGCTACAATTCATTTTCTTCCCATCCTCTTTGGTACTAATAGAATTATTTGACCTCTTTAAAGGCTACCTCCTTTGTATTTATTTCTTCCACTGTTTGACACATTTATATATTGATATTTAATTTTTTATTACATATTTTTGTTGATGAGAGTGAATAGAATGAATCTTAAAGTCATGTTTTCTTTAAATGAGCAAAGCCATATTTGTCCCTGAATTGATTAGTTGTAGTCTTTCAGCAGATCTGCTTCACTTCTTAATACAGTTTGTGTTTATTATATTGCTTCCATGCACTTTTTTTTTTTTTCTTTAAAACCACTAAGAAACAGGAGCCACTGTTGATGACGATGGGATTATTGTTGATGTATTACTGGCAATTTGTTTGCTTGGATGGGGAGGAGGCATAAAATTAAGGGAAAAGCTGGCTTTGCCCCTGGGAGGCTGGGAGTACAACTACCTGAGGAAGAAGGGATGAGCCAGTAGAGAAATGGGTCTTTTGTAGGGTATGATAGTCAGAGACTTAAATGCAAAATAAAAGTGGAGTAGTAGTCAAGCAGTGGTGTCTTAAGGCTGATCTTAAGGGGAGACTGGCCTCCAGTTGAGGTCTTCTTGAAAGATTTGATTATTCATTAAATAAGCCTATATTATTTTATAAGTTCTCATCAATATCAAAATTTTTTACATATACATAGACATTGCTCATGACACATGGATGTGTGTTGCCCATTAAGATGCATTTTTATGTGTTTTATTATAACATTTATTTTAGGTACTTTTATAGACAGCTTCTACTCTTCTATAGCAAAAATCCTATCATGATGGAAAAATCCATATTTTGTACAGAACCAGCTTCTGATCTTCTTACTCTGAAAGAAGATACCAACATTTACCTCTATATGAACCAGTTGCCTAAAGGATCAGCCCAGATTAAATCACAGCTGTAAGTATTAAGGAAGCTATTTTTAAAGGCAACAGGTTGATCATTGCACATATTCTGAATCCCTATAGCAAATAGAACAAAAACTGTATGTGTATCCAATTTCCCCCTTCAGCTGTGAGTTGTTGTTCGTAGCACATAGGGCACCACAGACCCTTTCCCCTTGCACTCCACTCAGTGATCCGTGACTACTTCTTAAAAATCCCATGTACTATACCACTTTCTTTTCTATGCTATTGTAAATCTTCTTTCTGCTTTTAAGATTTCACAAACTTTATGGAAGTATTGCTGTATGCACTATTCATATTTATGACCAAAGCTTCATTGTTTAGAAGAATACATAGTATCATGTAGCATAAAATTTAAACAATAGAGACAAAGAAGTAAATGCACAAAGAAGAAAGTAAAATTCACTTCAAGTCTGACCTTTTAGAGAGAACCATGGGCTGGGGATTTAGCTCAGTGGTTTCGCTGCCTGCTGCGCAAGCACAAGGACCCGAGTTCAATCCCCAGTACCAAAAGAAAAAAAAATACTAGAAAAAAAATAGAGAGAACCATGGGTACTATTTTGATTAAAATTTTTCTAATACTTTCAAAAATAGACATATTTCCTAAAGAAGATTTTCAAGAAAAATAATTTTAGTTTTTATTATTTTAACATTTTTGGGGGGTGAACGTTAAATCAAAACTGCTAGTTTTTGTCTTTTTTCCATTCCATCATTTTGTAGTTTTAAAAATTTTCACACAAAGGAGGGAAATAATTTACAAGTTATGATAAGGACAAAAATGAGTTTTTCATTTTATTTTTAAGGGAAATAAACAGTGGTAACATAGTGAAATTATCTATGATGGAGATGTAAATATGACTACTTTCTGTTTTGTGTTAATGTTTGAAACAGTCAATCCATCCTATGTTGCTTTGTATTTGCATCTGTTTCTGTTAACTGAGATTAAATGTACACTGTACTATGAAATTAAACACGGTAGAGGACAATAGTGGGTACATGCGTGTTGTCGATTATAATTTTCAAAAGGAGAAATTCCTTTTCTTCTTTCCCTAGGCGTCTTAATCCAAATTCTGTATCTGCATTTGAAGCCAGTGAAGAACTGAGTCTGCATGTGGCTGTTGGAGGCAAAATTTATCTTCCTGTTTACTGTCCTGCCAGTGTTGTTGATAAAGTGAACAGTATGTCTGCAAGTGACAAGTTGACAGGGTGGGAAGTTCTCGGTGTACAGGGAGCACTGCTGAGTCACTTTATCCAGCCAGTTTATATCAGCAGTATACTTGTTGGTAAGTGGGACCTCAGTGCTTCTTGGCCCCTTTCAATAAATTCTCATATTTTCAGGTTAAAATTGGTTTTTGCACACATGGAACTTTGAGGATAAAATAGAAATCCGCTTCTTGGTTGAGCTTTTTGTTTCACACTTAGTATGATAAAACTTGCCATTTTACCAAGGGGTGAAGAAGTAATATTTCTACTGAATTAGGTGTATGCTGTCTTGAACTTCTGTTTGCATGGTATCTATTCCCCCGTTCCTTTCTTTGGGGTGAAGATGCTTCCTTCAACTTCTTAAATCTAAAAGTTTATACTGTATTGTATTTACTCCTCTTTGGAGCATGGAAAGTATTAAATGTCTATTTTGGTTCTTTTCTTAATTTTTTCCTTTTAAGTGGCCCAATGAGTAAGAAGTGACTAGAATGCAAAATAAATACATAAATTACTAATTTATGTCTTTTTTTGACAGAGGGGATATTTCAGAAAGCTGGATCTATATTTGGATGGTATTCTAGATGTTATCTCATTAACAGTTTTGGGCTCATTTCTATAATTTTCACATGGCCTTGTTGAAATAATTTACTACTGTCACTTGGCTTTTTTTGCTTATTGTTAATTTTGAAATGAATCCATTGACAAGCTTTAGATCCCTGTTTGGCTAATATTTTTGTTGGTAGTGCTGTTCTGGAGTTTTTTGTTTATTTTGCTTTGTTCTGAATATACCAATCTCAGGGATTTCTCTCATCGGTATTTCTCTTTATTGGTATTATTTCTCCTGTTCCATGTACATGCAAGGTATTAGAAAAAGGAAAATAGTTATTATTTATTTTTCTAATGTTATGCTAATTTTATTTGTCTGGGAAATATATTACTTGAATCATAATTCAGAAGACTCAAAAGGGCATATTCAGTGAAGAATCTCCCTCCCATCTTAGTGCCCCATGCACACATTTGACTTGTGTAGAAACATACCTGATTAGTTTTTTTGTTTTTTATTTACAGTAATAGTTAGGTTTTGCTTATGGAAGTGTAAGTATTTGATGTATATGTTTTTCTGTATTCTTTTTTATTTTCAGTTTTTGTGTCTTTTAAAATATTTTATAATACACCCTCAAAAGTGACTGTTTCCTTCTCTCCTTTTTCCCAATGCTATTATTAATGAAGAACCACTGTTTGGCTCATTTTTTAAAAGACTTAATTTGGTTACCAAAGTTTTTGTTCACTATGTTTTCTGCTAGCCAGTTCGGATCGTCTCTAGATACTTTAAACTTTTCTGACTCTCTTTTTAAAGGCTTCTTTGTTCTTAATAAATGCCCGTATGCTTTCTATGCTTTCTCTAGAATCATAGCTTTGATAAGCAAGGCTTTCTTTGACTTTGTGAAAAGACGTTTTACTGTTTGTCATTTGTATGATGTAACTCCATCTATAGTTTGTTTTAACTTTTTATTGGTATATGTTTGCAAAACATAATTACATTCACCTTGGAGAGCTGGTACCTATACATATAGCGTCTTGGTAATTGTTGCTCCTCCTCTTTCCCAGCCTTGCCTCTCTCTCCTTCCCCAGACCCTGTTCCCATCTCTGCAGAATCTACTTCCTTTTTTCCCACCATTGCTCTTTTATTTTTCTCTTTAAATCATTTATATTTTGTGTGTCTTACATTACAGAAACCATGCAATATTTAACTTTTTCTGTCTGATTTATTTAACTTGGTATTACTGTCTCAAAATCTATAGCAATTTTCCTACAGATGACTCAGATTTATCCTGTGTGCCTGAATAGTTAGTATTCTATTGTGTATATATACCCCATTTTCTTTTTTCGTTCATCTGTTGATGGGCATGTAGACCACTTCCATGATTTAGCAAAGGTGAGGTTTGCTGCTATAAACATGGGAATGTGTCAGTGTAATGTGATACTTTTAACTCCTTCGGGGTGATACCCAAAAGAGATATACCTGAATCAAATACAGTTTCTACTTTTAGTGTTTTTTTACGGACTGCCCATAACGATTTCCATTGTGGTTGTACTAGTTCTGCAGCAATGTAGAAGGGTTCCCTTTTGCCCACAACCTCACCAGCATTTGTTGTTTTTTTGCATTCTTGATAGTATCCATGGTGACTGCAGTAAGATGGAATCTCAGTGTTGTTTTGATTTGTAATTCTCCAGTGGCCTCAGATCCTGAACATTTTTTCATGTGCTTATTGTTCACGTCTACTGCTGAGAAGTGTCTCTTCATTTCAGTTTGCCCAGTTTTGATCGGATCTTTTTTTTGAGTTCTTTATATATTCTAGATATTACACCTCTGTCTGAGGAGTCACTGGCAAAATTTTTTTCCCATTCTGTAGGTCATCCCTTCACTTTGTTGATTGTTTCTTTTGCTGTGCAGAAGCTTTTTAATTTAATATAATCCTGTTTGTTGATACTTGGTATTATATCTTGTGTTACTGGGTTTCTAAATTCGGGAAGTCCTTGCCTTATGTCTGTGTCTTCAGGAGTTTAATATTTGTGAAGAAAGACGTTTTACAGATTGTCATCTGTATGATGTGACTCCATACTATAGTACTTTTTTTAACAAGTTTTTTTTCCTTTAGTGGTTTGAAACAGGAGCTTAAAAATTAAATCTGGTCATTTTAATTGTCATCTTCCACTAGCAACGTAGAGCACCAAGTAGCAATAAAAGTAGTTTGGCTTTGGAAAAAATGCTTTTGCTCTCTTTCTTGGCATCTTTGTAGGACACACCTAACACTAATTATTGGTAATCTGTCTGGTATTAGCTAAGTACATTTTAATGTGTTTGAGTGTGAAAAATACGGATTTCTGCACATCTTACGATCTTTATTTGGAGGACAAGACTTACGAGGCCGAGGAATATACATTTTTAAAAGAACATCACCAGGTGATTCTGATACAAATAGGTGTATCATACGTTGAGCAATTCCCATTTAAAGTATCTGTACACTAAGAGTATTATTTTGGCAGGTAAAATAATCTTTAGAGTTAATTGAACTTTAGCAGTTATATGATAGAACTTCTTACCTAAATATGTTGACTTCTTATGCCACTCTGAATAGAAGATCATCTGGGCCCAATGCAAAAGCATCTACTAATGTGTCATGTACCAACTCCACACAAGTCATGTAAACATGATGTACTGCCAACAATACTAATAAAAATACATAAATATAACACAAAAAAGACAGCTGGTGAGTTCTACTAGTTAAATAGCTACAAATCTTTAGAAATGCCTTCTTTATGTAAAATTGAAATTTACTTCCCTTTAATTCTGTACTGACAATACAGATTAAATCTAATTCTTTGAAGATAACAATCCTGTCCCCTTTTTTTTGGTTCTGGGGATCAAACTTGGGACCTTGTGCTTGTGAGGCAGGCGGCAGAACCACTGAGCTAAATCCCCAGCCCCCTTTTCTTTTAAGTCTTACAAAGTTTTTCCAGTTCTTATTTTGATTCTTCAAAACCTGTATAATATAATAGAATATTTATTAATGGGAAAAGTATTATATTTCATTTTTTGATGATGATAAAAAATGAATCCAAGCCCTCTTCCGTGGTAGGCGAGTCGTCCAACACTGAGCTACGTTCCCAGTCCATGTATTGTATTGTAAACTTTATTTTACTTTTTGAAAAGTTGGCTGAAGTAAATTTTATGATGTATATATTCTTAAAATGTTCATTTAATCATTTTTATAGTGGTCATCTTTTTCCTTTTAAAATTTAAAATAGCGGGGCTGGAGATGTAGCTCCATGTAGAGCTCTTGTCTACTGTGTGTTGGGCCCTTGTTATGGCTTGCGTTTAGATGCCCCCCCTCCCTCGCCAAAAGCAACGTGCAGTCAAAGGTGGGGCTTTTTCAGAGGTGGCTGAATCTAGTGTGTGATTGATTCACTGTGCCATGCTGGACTTAACAGTGCTAGGATTAAGGGTGGGTGATTACTCAATCAGTGCACTGATTGGTTTGGTACCACCTTAATCTCAGTAGCCTGGATATAATATAATGGACAGAAAGAGGCTTGTCTTGTCCCTTGCTTTCTTGCTTTGCTACCTTCTGCCCTCTGTGAACTGTTTCTCCTCCGTGATGCCTGTCTACTATGCCACCCTGCCTTGGAGTCAGCCAATTATGGATTCAAATCTCTACAAACTGTGAACCACATAAACCTTCCCTCTCTTAACTTTGAGTGTCAGATATTTTGTCTCAGCAATGAGAAAAGTAACTAACACAGCCCTGTATTCAATCCCTAGAACTGCAAAAAAATAATAATAGTAATAAAATATAATGAGATTTAGATTTACCTTAGAAAGGAACTTAGAATAGACAGTGATCAAGAATAATCTTCCAAAAAATTTTGCTTTACATGGATCTTGAAAATTATTGGATTTATATTTGCTTTCAAGCTTTTTAAGGTACATTTTTTAAAGTCAGTTCCTCTCTCTCAATACGTAATGCTGTTTGTCCAAAGACGGGTATTTCCATTCCAAAGTCCTTTTCTGTACTGATTTGAAAGTATAACTGTAGTGTAAGGAATGCTACATGCTAATTCTCTCATAGCAAAGGAGTCCATTTTAAACACAGTTCATGAGCTTTTATGAATCAGTTGATAACCTTAGAGATTCTGTTATTCAATTTTATCCTTTGTTTTCAAAACAGTAATATGAGGATCAGAATATTCATAAAATACTTGCCCAAAGTCATTCTGTTTGTTTATGGTCAGAGCTTGAAATCATATCCAATCAATAATTTTATACTGTTGTTTATGATACATCTTTCCCCTATAAACTGCTTTCAGGTATCTTATAGTCTTTGATTAGGTCAAACTTTTCAGCTTAAAGTTATTTCAAATCATTTTTAATAAATCAAATTAAAATTTCCCAATTGTATAAGTTTAGAGATGTATTTCTCCAGGGACAAGATTTAGCCTCAAGATATAATCAAAGTCATACTCCAGATATAGTAAATAATTAAAGCATTTATACATAGTGAAAAAGTAACATTTTCAATATGAATAGATTTTATTTTTTCTATTAAGGTAGCTTTTATACTTCACATTAAGACATCTAAGTGAAACAATTGGATGTTTAAAGAATCTTATGAAGAGCTTGACTTTTAAAATGTTTTTCTTTCTCTTAGTATTTCTTAAGATTAACCGGTGTCATTATTTCAATGTAAAATGATTGCATTATTTGAATCCTTCTGTTCATTAGAGATACAATAACTATTCCTCCGATCTTTTTTTTCCAACTATTTTACTGTATCCAAGTATATCTTTAATTTGACTAGCCTTCCAGCCTGCATTTGTCAGTTTTTCTTGATTTGGAATAAAAGAATGCTTACAAAAATGTGTCAAAAGCAAGTGATTTACTTTTAGGATGATATTCTAATGCTTAGACCAGTCATAATGAGTGTAAGTTCTGATAACCATTGCAACAATTCGATTGACAGAGAAACAAAACTTTATCTGTAAAATGTGTATTTACAAACACATGATTTTATATATATATATATATATTTATGTGTGAATGAATGAGTGAGTGAATGCCATGTACGCACACACGCTTTTGCAAGAATAAGAATTTCTGGTCTTCTTAGGAAGAAAGATGTGCTTCCAAAAAAAATTTTTTTTTAAGTAGAAAAGAGCACTCCCTGATTCTATTTTAAGTTCTGTGCAGTTCACTGTTTTGTATTAGTGATCTCTTTTTGCGATCTCTTCTTCAACAGTTGCAATTGAGAATTCAAAGCTTTTGGTGTCGGGCACAATTTTAACCAGTCGTGGTCATACTTAGAATTGCTTTTTTTGTGTGTGTGAAAACAGAACACTGTGGTACCACAACACTTAGAATTTGTGGCCAGTAGATGTGAGGAAATAACACACTTTCACCAACGGTTTCCCAGTCATATTTCCATGCTGCCTTAGGTGCCTTATGTGGTCATCAGAAAATCAGACAGAACAAGCCAAGTCTGTCTGGTAGAGCCATGTAAAAGGTCCCAATTTCTTTCTGGGCCAACACTGACCTTTTGCTTTTACTTACTAAAATCACCCATTATTTTCTGGAATCTTTTTAAAATGAGCATTCTGTCATTACCTTGTCCTGGTTTTTGTGAAGAATATGGAAGTAGCAGCTAAGAGAATACAAGAAGGAAAGAGAAGGTTGAATAAAGGATAAAGGGAAATGGGATTTGGATGTTTCCAATTTTTATTTCTATCTATTTTTAGTATTATCTTTTGATAAGTGAGTTTGAGTGTTTATTTTGTGTTTTCTAGGTGATGGGAATTGCAGTGATACTAGAGGCTTAGAAATTGCGATAAAGCAACGTGTTGATGATGCACTCATGTCAAGTCTTCCAATGTTTTACTTAGTCAACAGGCCTCATATTAGCTTAGTGCCCTCTGTATACCCATTTCAAATGAATTTGGAATATAAATCTCTGAGTATGAACTGGGCACAAGGGGACCTTGCTCTGGAGATTGTGGATGGCCTAAATGGGAAAATCACTGAAAGGTAAGAATTACTGATTTATTTAAAAATTATATGTTAAGCAAAGGAAGGCATTTTAATCACAATTTTTATTCTTTTATGGATACTACTGAGTTTTAAACAATATGTAGTCTTAATTGATTTGGAAGTTATGTTGCAGGTATCACACACACTTGCTTTTTCTGATGAGAAAACAGGCCTGGAGAAGTTACTGAAGTCACATAGTGAGTGGTGAAACCAGTGTTCAAACCCAGAGAATCTGGCTCCAGAACCAGGTTTTTTCAGGGTGTCATTTTGTGACCAGTAGCATTAGGATTACATAATTTATTCTAAAAATTCAGTTTCTTCTACTGAAACTGAATCTCTAGGGATTTGGACTTGGGAATCTGCATTTTTTTTATGTGTATTCCCCAAGACTACTTAATGTAATGTAAGAACTACTTAAAGTAAGTATTATATTACGTTATACTGCCTTCTTATGCAATAAACCTGTTCTGTGGGTGGTTTTTTTCTTTTACAGGTAAACTGAGGCTCAAAGTAGATTAGATATATTCCCTAAGGTCACTCAAATAGTAAAGGACATAGCTCTGATTCTGATCTGGACATTTTGTATCCAAAGGCCTTGTTCCTAACATAATGCTCTATTCCTTCTAGACATTTTTCTAATATCTCTACAACTAATTATCAAATAAAAACTAAAACCTTTCTTTTAGTGTGAACACACATTTATAATGAGGTAATGAATAATGTTAAATGCTTTTAAATTGTTTTCTCAATGAAAGGACAGGAAGGATTAAATTAAGGCAACATACAGCTGCTTCTTAGTGAACCCAGTCAAGCATAATAATAACTATTTCAACTAGGATGACGATACTATTTGTGCTTTGGGATCATGTATCAGACTCAACAACACACATACAAAATATATTTGCTATAAATGACATTTAAAAGCTATTTGCTGAAGACATAAAATAATGGCATAACAAAGATGAAATTAATAAATGTGGAATAACTAATATTTTTATGACTAAATATTTTCTAAGAGAGTACAAACAGAAAAGAAAACAAGAGGTGTAATCTAAATATTAGACAAGATGTAATTCATCCTGAAGAGGATTACAATAAGGAAAAGAATATTTCACTAGTATAAAGGGTATAACTCAAAGAAGACACAGAACAGGTATGAAAACATATGCAGTAAGTTACATACTATCAACAGTTATAAAGCAGAAATTGAAGATGATGAGGGGGCATAGAAACTACTGGCAAGACAGTAATTCACCCTTTCAGTTGATGGTAATTCAAGTAGACAAAACAAGAAAGGGTATAACCACTTGGAAAAAATATATATTTGATCAATTTATTTTAAACTCTGTACCATAAAAATATAAAATATGGTTAGCTTTTCAAGAATGAACAGAAATTGAGAAAAATTGACTATTTGTTGGGCCACAAAGGAAATCCAAAAAGTAGGAGCAATGTAAGCAATATTCTTTGGTTATGATGAGATGAAACTATAGACAGTCAGAGTGCGAGAAGCTGTTTTCCCTGGAGTAAAAATGTTCTCTGAGTTCTACCTCAAAGGAGAAATGGAAACTTATAGAATATTTAGAAAACAAAGATGTTGAAAATATCACCTGTCAGAAAGCAAATGGGAAAGTCAGCCAGCCTTAAATTTTACATTAATAAATAATGGAAGTAAAGTAAACATCATGAAAGAATAAATAAAATACAAATGCAAGGGAAGGGAGCCAGGTCCAGTGATCTATACCTGTAATCCCAGCACCTGGGAGCTGAGGTAGAAGGGTCACAAGTTGGAGCCTAGCTTGGGTAACTTAGTGACTTAGCAAGACCCTCTCTCAAGAAAATGTTTAAAAGGACTGGAGATGTAACTCAGTGACAAGGTTCAATCTCCAGTACTGAAAGAAGGGAAGTCAGTCATACCTGTTTACAAGTAGATCTGAAATGTTCCATTGTAAATAGCTTTGAAGCTAGGAAGCATGAAGGATTTGGAAGTTTTTACAATCTGTGAAAACTAATGAAAAGATGTAGCAAAAATAGAAAAAAAAGAACTTCATGTTTTATGGACTCACTTTTATTAGCGACACAAATTGCATATACACCTATCTAATGTATATATATATACACATCTGCACGTACATAGAGATCTGTGTACACATCTATGTGTACATCTCTATGTACATTTATGTGGAGAGTTGTGAAGTAGATATGTATGTTATTTTCATATTAAATTAAAATTTGGTTGCAGAGAAAGTACTGTACCATTGCATGAGAAATTCATTTATGTATATACCCATGTAACCAGCACCCTTATCAACGTATATTGCATTGTTATCATCCCAGAAAGTATTTCCATTAATTGATATCACCGTAGATTAATTTTGCTTTAAAAAAGAGAAATGTACCAACTATCACCCTTTAATTTTTGATGTAATGTTATAATAACAAACTAGGATAAATTAGCTTCAGAAGGTAATTAATGCTGAGAATGATTTTTATGTAACAAGTTTCAGTATTGGTACATAATTGAGATGCATAAATATTTTAGTCTTTGATTTTAATCCTTACAGTTGCCAATATAAATCATTGAATAATGTTTGATGAATGTTTCATTCCTTTCTACTTCAGTTCCCCATTTAAAAGTGGTGTGTCAATGGCAAGTCGGCTTTGTAAGGCTGCAATGTTAAGTAGATTTAAGCTGCTTGCCAAGGAAGCAAAAAGAGACTATTTATTTAAACCGAGTACATATTATGCAGCTAAGGTAAGGTCCTTAAAGAACAAAGTTGATCATAGAATAAAAATAAAGACAATGTTGTGGTAATTTCCGTTGATTTTACATAGCAAAAGTTTATGGACTAGTTCCTGAAAATAAGATACTACCATGTAAATAGTTCAGTTGATTTTCAAATGAATATGCCAGAAATTGAATATATAAATAAGTGTTGCTGCTTAAAATAGCCATCTTGTGTGGTATATACTTATTCTGACAATATTGTCAAAAAGCTTTTATCTCATACATAGAGAAACAATATGGTTATAAATATTTTTATGTGTATAACATTGTGTAAACCATAGAGTATTCAGTACCCTAAAACAGTAGCCATGTAAGTTCTTTCCTATCTTAAAGTTGTTAAAAAGTTTAATTCCAGAATTTAATTTAGACCTAATTTAATAGGTAGTGTAGATAGCTTTTTTCCCTCTTTAAAGTATTTGTGTTTTCATACAAATAATTATGTTTCCAGTGGAAAATTTAGAAGATTTTTTAAAAATAGAAGGTAGACATAAAGACATAGGTTCAATCCCTAGCACCATAAAACAACAACAACAACCCAAAATATATAGTAATTTCACATAGTAATCAAAGGTAATAGTCTTTTAATGTGAGCATATTATTTCATCTTATGTGTATATAGACTTTTGAATGGATATATTTTAAAACATTAAGATCACACTGTATGTTTTCAATCTTTTTATTAAATAAGACATGCACAAACTTAATGTTGTTACTGAATATTAAATAGAAATTTTTTTATGAAGTAATTTTAATAATATAACATTTTATGAAAGTCATTTAGTTCTACTGGCATCTTAAAGTTCAAACCTTAATTCCAAGCAATAAAGCAGTTATATTGGCTATAGGTGTTTATACACACACACACACACACACACACACACACACACAAACACACACACACATAAGTACATTTTTAAGTATTAAAAACTTTATTATAGAGATTTTCAACCCCTTTATGACACCAAAACCAAAAATGATCTAAGTAAACTTTTATACTTAATCATATGTGGATAAGTATATAACTGGACAGGATGCAGGGTATGGTGGCATCTGTAATTCCAGCACTCAGGATGGAGAGGCTGGAAGATCAACACTAGTTTGAGGAGAGCCTGAGCTAAGTAAATAGTGAGTGCAAACCCAGCCTGAGCTACAAAGCAAGACCTTTCCTCAAAACAATTTAAAAAAAAAAATCAATGAAGTAAATCAAAAGTTACCTCACTTCAAAAAGTCAACAAACTTGATTCCTAACAATCTAGACTAAGCAAGAAAAAAATGAGGTAAAAATGATCAAAATCTGGAATGAGAAAGAGTCCTCACTCCAGACCTTTAAGAAGCTAAAATAATTGTAGCACAACCTTTTGTCAATACATTAAACCAGTTAAATGGGTGTTTTGTAGAAAGACATAAATTACAAAACCTGACTCAAAAATAGACCATCCAAGTAGAACTTAATCAATCAGAGAGATTAAACTGTGAAAATTATTTCCCCAAAGAAAATCCCAGGCACCTGTATGGCTTCATGATTAATTCTATCAGACATAAACAAACATAGTACAAATAAGAAGCTCTTTCAACTCATTAGAAGGCCAACGTTACCCTGTTATCAAAACTAGACAAAATCATCACAAGAAATGAAGACTTCAGATCAGTACCTTCCACGAAAATGAATGTGAAAATTCTTAACAAGATTGGACAAACCGTATCCAGGAACACACAAATACAAAAAAAGATTATACGCCATTTCCAAAGAAGTTTAATCTGAGAACATAAGGTTGATTTGACCTTAGAAAATTGTTTGCTATAAGGAACTAGAGGGATAAATTCAAGTTCAGAACTCATATAATTATCTTAAAATATATACAAAATGCATCTGACAGAATCTGACCCCCATTCACGATATAAATGTTGAACAAATAAGAAATAGAAGTGAACTTCTTCAGTTTCATAAGCCCATCAGCAGAGAACCTACAATTGATATACTTCATAATAAAGGACTGAATATTCTTTTCCCCTCACCCAAGATTATGGAAGAAGTCAAGAATGTTGGCTCTCACCACTTGTATACGTTATTCTGTTCATTCTAGCAAGAAAAAGGGGCAAAAAAGTATCCATACCAGAAAGGGAGGAGAAATATTTTCCTTATTCCTAAATGATATAATTTTACAGGCAAAATATCCCTTGGAATCTACCCAAAACAGGCAACTAGATCATATTTGAATGTAGCGAAGTCACAGTAGAATAGGATAAAAAATAAATTGTGTACCTGTATCCTAGGAGTGGACACTCCAAAACTAAAATTGTTTCAGGCATACATTCTCAAATACACATACACGCAGAGAGGAATACATTAACAAAAGAACTGTAAAACCTGTACATAGGAAATGATAAAAACAGTGCTGAAAGAAATTAAAGAGAACCTCAATAAAGGGGGGGCTGTACCATATTATGGTTTGGAAAATACAGTATTATTAGGATACCAGTTCTTTCAAAATTATAGCTTCAATACAAAAGTCAAAATCTCTACAAGTTTTTGTGTAGAGATTAATGAAACAATTATAAAATTGATGTGATTATCTGAAATAACAAGAAAAAATTTTGAAAAAGAGCAAAAAGTTGGAATACTTAATTTAATTTCAAAACTGCATGTACACCTTGGCAGTATCACAGGTTTGTTTCCAGACTATTACAATAAAGTGAGTCTCACAAAATTTTTGGTTTCTCGGTGCATATAAAGGCTAGGTTTACACTAGTCTATTGTAAGTGTATAGCAGATCACCTCTTCAAAAACACCAAAGTACATAACTTAATGTTTTTTTGCTTATCCATAAGAGCAACTCGTCATCCAGTTTTATAAGATTCCAGCAATTCATTCACATTCTAAGGCTTCCCTTCTAATTCTACTACTTTTGCTATTTCTACCACATCTACAGTTACTTTGTTCAGGGAAGTCTTGAGTCCTCAAAATCATCCATGAGTATTAGTTTTATCATAAGATTGTATTTTTCTCAAAAGATTATGGGAATTTATCCACATTTTCAGGCTTTACTTGTAATTCTAGTTCTCTCGCTGTTTCTGCCACATCTGCAATTACTTTGAGGAAATCTAGAACCCTCAAAATCATCCATGTGTGTTAGAATCAACTTCTTCCAAACTCCTTTTTTAAAAGAAATTAATTTTATTGGTACTCTTTTGATATACATAATGATCACATTCATCATAGGGAATTTGTACCTCTACACAATATATCTCGATTCTTCTTTTTTTCCCATTCCCCTCCCTCTTAAATCCTGGTTCTCTCCTTATTTACAAAAGCTTTGTTTCCATTTTTTCCCCTTCCATTCTCTTTTTTTCCTTTTTCCTTCCTTCCTTTCTCATGTGAACATTTTCTTCCTACTTCCCAATATCTGTCATCCATTTTGGTCCTTATTTGCATTTTTGGTTTCTCACACAAGAGAAACAACGTGATATTTAAACATACGTGTACAATTTATTTCACTTTAAAGTATGGTCTCAACGTGTATTCGTTTGCCTAAAACTGCCTCAAGTTTATCCTTCTTTATGGCAGAGTGGTACTCCTTTGTATATAAGAACCACACTTTCTTTACCCATTCATCTGTTGATAGGCATCTTTCCAAGATTTAGCTGTTACAAATTGTGCTGTGTGTGGTGCTTTTAACTCTTTGGGGAAGATACCAAGAAGGGGAACAGCTGGGTCAAATGGAGCCTCTCGTTTTAGTTTTTTGAGGAATCTCCGTACTGCTTTCCATAGTGGTTTACCAGTTTATACTCCCACCAACAGGGGAGAAGTGTTCCTTTTTCCCCACAGCCCCACCAGCATTTGTTATTGGTTGATTTCTTGATAGCCATTCTTTCTGGAGTGAGATGGAATCTCAGTGTTGTTTTAATTTGGATTTCTTGAATAACCAGTGATGTTGAATATTCTTTTATATATTTCTTTGCTATTTGTACTTCGTTATCTGAGAAATGTCTGTTCATTTCAGATGCCCATTTTTGAATTGGGTTTTTAAATTGGGTGTCTGATTTTTTTGAGTTCTTTATATATTCTATTATATATTCTTTATGTATTCGTCCTTTGTCTAAGGAATAGCTGGTGAAATTTTTTCCCATTCTGTGGATTTCGCTTCACTCTTTTGGTTTGCAAAAGCTTTTTGATACGAGATCCTGGTTGTTGATTCTTTGTAATATTTCTTGTGCCATTGGAGTTTTGTTCATAAAGTCTTTGCCTATACCCATGTCTTCAAGAGTTGTACATAGTCTATCTTCCAGCAGATTAAGTGTTTCTGTTTTAATATTTAGATCTTTGATCTATTTCAATTTTAATTTAGTGCATGGTGAGAGATACGGGTTTGGGTTTAATTTTCGGTGTGTGGAAAGCCAGTTTTCTCGGCACCATTGATTAAAGAGGCTCTTTCTTCAGTGAAGGTGTTTTGCCCCTTTTCAAAGGTAAGGTGGCTAAGTGTGTTTGTTGTTTCTGCATCTTCTAATCTGTTGCATTGATCCTTGGATCTGTTTTTTTGTTTTGTTCCGTTCTGTTTGGTTTGGTTTTTTTCTGCCAGTAAAAGGGTGTTTTTATCACAGTAGCTCTGTAGTATAATTTCAAGTCAAGGATTGTGATGCCCCCTGCCTTTGTCTTTGTTGTCCAGAATTGCTTTTGTTCTTCTAGGTCTCCTCTGGTTGCTAATGAATTGTAGGATTGTTTTCTCTAGTTCTGTGAGGTATGCTTTTGATATTTTGATTGGAATTACATTAAATCTATATAACAGTTTGGGGAGTATGACCATTTTCACTATATTGGTTCTGCCTATCAAGAATAAGGGATTACCTTTCCATTTTCTGATATCCTCTGTGATCTTTTTCAGAGTATTATAGTTTTCAATGTAAAGGTCTTTTACTTCCTCCATCAGGTTGGTTGGTAAGTCTTTCATTATTCTTGATGCTGTTGTGAA